CCCACAGGCTTTACAAGAGTCTTGACGCTGTCTGCGAGCCTCTTTATCATACACTTTCACTCTTAGTAACAGTGAGCTCGACAAAATGACCTTACTCGGGCCCCATTATATCCTTGCCATGGTTAAGGATGACGCTTTTTGTAGTCCAATCTGGTCAGCCCATCTGACCGATGCGCCAGTGTGGTCTGGACAATTTGTTTGGTGGTGAATATGTGGGGTTAACAAAATTGGCAACTCCAATACGAGTTAGACAATGGCACTCTCTCATTTTATAGCTAGATTTAGTTTCGAGCAGGGTCATGACCTGATCATAGAATCTAAGATTTTTAGTCGAAAGGCCGTTATTATGAGTTCAGCTAACTCAACCTGACTGAGCCAAGTGCATTAAGTAAATTCAGTTGTCTTGAATTTCGCAAAAGTATTTGTCGTTTATGAGTATGATTTCGAGACTACCAGTAACTCAATTATATGAGATGTATTAGTAGAGCTGACGCTTCCATTAAATTTTACATAGTTTTGTCTTGCCAAAAGGTGTTCTCATCCATGATAGACTGCAGTTTCAGCCTCAACCCTTCTGCTGGACTCGAACCAGGAGTGTGCAGCGTGTAATCTCTAAACTGCTTTATCGACAATCCTACCAAAGGATGTTATATTGTAAAATGCCTGGCCCACCCTAAAAATCACATCTTCCCTGTACCCAAAGACACTCGTCCTATTGTGGCGTAGTGATTAGCAGGTCGAGATTACAGGCTGCACTGCCATGGTTCGAGTCCCGTTGGGAGGCGAGGTCGAAACTCCAATTGACTCTGGATGAAAACTTAATTTGGTAAAGCAAGAGTTTGTGAAATTAAATGGAAACGTAATTTCTACTCACATGCTCGTGGTAAAATACAATTGCCAGCCTTTAATCACATTAAACAAAATATAGAACGAACGCATCTCATATGTCAGATGGTCTAGACAAAGGCCCAAACTTCCAGTCAGTGTCCTATGGAATTTGCTTCAAGGTCTATCTTACTGGAACCTTGAGAGTTTTCACAAAATATACAAATATGTCTTTCTCCAATTGACTCTGATTTAGCTTTTTAAGGGTCAGCCAGTAGTTGATATTTAGAGGACCTACAATGGCATGAAACTGCTCCAAAATCAGACCATTCCATCGACAAAAATTCATTATCTTTACATTCGCCTTCTTCAGTGTTAAAGGTCAAACTGAGAGAAAACTCACTCACCCCCTCATTATTAGGATATGGCGAATATCTACTGCCCAGTAGAGCAGCTGGACAGACTTCAATTTGTTTGCGTGTGTAGTCTAGTCGGTAGACAGTGTCCTCATCAAATGGAGCCTTCATCGCATCTCCAGTCTGCAGATCCGGCCTGCAGGATTTGACTCTGGGATTGGCCAGTCCGCGATAGTGCAATTTGGAAATGCTTTCTCCCTCAAAAGGCATCGTTGGCGGTTGATAATTGGTCTGCCATTGGGCACGGTTGGGGCGCCTGGTCTGCACACTCCAAGCCCGATAACAGTCGCGATAGTCCGTGATGCCCTGAAGGGAATAGAAAACATAAATTCGGACGGAAATGCGAGTAAACATGCAAATAATAGACGTAGAGTAACCATTGAGCACACGTTTAACTTGAGTTTATTCCAGAATAAGTGAATCATAATACACTCTGTGACCAGAATCTGCTTTATTTTTTGCATTCCAGCGGAATAAAGCCTTTAGGCTTTTAGGCTTATTGATATGGAGTTATCCCAGCGGGCAAAACCCTGTTTTGGCACCAGAAATGGCAGTCAAATGCACCAAATTTTAACTCTTACCCATACTTTTCTTCTTTTAAAAGTTAATCTGGTACGTTACTACTAGAAGTAATGCTCTTATAGACATATTTACAAAGCATCACCACATGTAGACACCATTTTCTCGTGCATAAACTTCATTTGATGATGACAGATTTGTATAAGTTTTGACTTATATTCTTTTCATAAACTTATCTGCTTTAATCTATAAAAATATTCGTTGATTCAGTCTAACTATTTTTATATGCCTTTATATTGACTAAACTTCGACTGAAATAGAGTTTGCCTAGCCATGGCATAAACCTGTAAAGCAGATGCTGTAAGAAAAAAGACGAATTCGATTACGGACTACTGGAATTCCAAGTCCGATTGGTATGGAAGAATCCAAATAAAGCTGGATTCTATTAATGAATTTCAATAAAGCAAATCATCTGATCATGTTATACATACAAGTTGCACCTTCATTACAAAAGGATTGCTCTCGCCCACCGGAATCAGAACGCACTACTTGTAACCCAGAGCGATGAAGCCGAACCAATTCTAAATCACGTTAAACGTGCTGATGGCTATCAAAAGGGCAAAGACGTGCTGTCCAGGCTGGATAAGGTTAAGACTTTTTAAGAGACAAGGCTGAGTAGAATGCAACTAATAAAGATCTGTATTCACATTTAGTATCTCAAGGCTATGCGAAAACGATAGTGATTTTTTTCCACAATGAGCTGAGTGGGTCTCATGATAAAATTAAATTTTACTAAGTCTTGATTCCAAAAAGTTATTTACATCCAGGCTGGACTGGACTGGAATTCATCAGTACCCCCAACGGGACTCGAACTTGGGTAGTGCAGCGTATAATTTCAACAGATTAATACTGTCATGAGCACCTGTCAGTAATGGGACAGAAACAAGTTAGGCTTATTCAATTCCACATTTTTATAGTAGGAGTGTAGCTGAGGCACACATTTTTTGCCATTATAGTCGAGAGCGTTACCCCTATTCGAGGTTGGTAGGATTTTGAGGCTGTCACCAAACCTTGAATCAGAACTTTAGTAACTTTGAAGATAATGACCCAGGTGATGTAGCCTCAGGTTTGTTCGCTTTATTGAGGTTTTATTATCTAATTTTTGCAACTTGGACGTGTTAACAGGGAGACCTTGTATAACGTAACTGGTAGTCATGATGATTTCTAGTTTTGGACAATCAACCTGTTACTTTCCCAGCCGTTAGGCCGGCATTATCAGTGAGCCTTAATGGACCAAAACACGAGTAAAGTCTATTTGTCGATTGAATTTCTGCCGAGAAATTCTGACATCGCTCCTCCTGTCCTGGTACATCCACCTGACCTCTATTCTCGTAACTCATTTCTTTTGTATGCAGGGATATGGGATAGATAGAAGTACCAGGACAATAGGAAAAGAGATACCACATTCTTCCAGCAGAAATTTGGTCAAGGAGTGTACTTCGACTGTCGCTTTGACGAGTTGTTATTTGAGGAATGATTCAAGTCAGGGGTCAGATGGTGAAAATTAGCATGAAACAAGAATAGGTATAGAATTTGTCTGACCTTGTTTTCACAACTTGGTCATATTGGTAGGAAGACTTAGAGGAACGCGCCTAGTCCGCAGTCCAGTGTATACATGATCATTTCGAGAGTCGGAGCGTGAACGTGGTAAATTCCCAGACGTTTTGCCGATACCAAGAGTCTTCCACTGATTTCACGACAATAAATTCCACTATAAGCCCTAAGCAAATCCTAATAAGCGAAGCTATCACTCATCTTCTTATATTCATAGGAATTAGGTTTCGCAACTATCAGTTCGTCTAGAATAAGAGTTATAGTCATTGCAATGGCAAAATACAGGTTTGACTCATCAACCAGCCAAAGATTGATCTAACTTAAATTTCACATCTGGCGAGTCGTAGAAAAACTTTAAAACACAGTTAAGCCTGCACGATACTACCGTTTGGGAATTAATATTGTGAGGTCTACTTATGCGATTTTGGGAAAAATCATCTACAAGTACCTCATCATCTTATGCGAACTTGGGTGACTATATTTGATATTCAGTTTTTATGCCAAAATTAAGGCTTAACTATAAAACCTTTGGGAAATATCACTTTATAATTAAATCATAGTGATCCTTTCGTTTTTCATGGTTTGCTTACTAGTGTGTACGGTTTTGCAATTTTATCTCAAATAGTTAATCAACTATTGTCAAAAATTAAACAATAAATTAAAAAAATACATTCGGTGGCGTATTGATATATATGTATATATAACTTCCACGAGTAGTAAGTGTGAAGAAAAACTCATTAAAATACCAGATAATATATATTTTTGCTTAAATTGGCCCACCTGGAAAGGCGCTTGACTATCAGACCTCCGTCCCTTTTC